GTACCAGTTTTCCCGGCAGCACTAGCTGGAGTCCAAGATAAGTCCCAGCCCCAGGAAGCCTCGAAGGAGCTGGCTGCCGTAATGGAAGGTCTCAGAGGGAGGGAAGTTGGTAAATGAGATGAGGGTGTGAGGTCAGTGCCTGGTGACCCCAATAGGATCTTAGTTCTGACACCGATGGCATGTTGCCCCTCCCTCTTCCCCCTCTGCTCCTCAGATGACAGAGACGCAGTTTGTGTTATCCTTTGTTCACCGTTTTGTGGAGGGCCGTGGGGCCACCACCTTCTTCGCCTTCTGCTACCCCTTCTCCTACAGTGACTGCCAGGATTTGCTAAACCAGCTAGACCAGCGCTTTCTGGAGAACTACCCTACCCATAGCAGGTACCAACCCTATTCTTACTTCCGCTGCACGGTCCTGGAATAGACAGTACCTTTGCTGCTTCTAGAATTTGCTCTAAGAGCCCTGAATCAAAACTTTATCAGTCTTTTTCTCTGTACAGAATGTGGGACTTTGGATACCTTTGACAAATATGTTTCTGTGTGACCTTGATCTCAGTATATCACCACTTATACATGCTACTCACCCACCTGCCCAGTTCAAGCCCTTAATATTCCAGCTCCATCAATTATCTAGAATTTAGCCAGCACTGCCATTGCTCAGCATACCTTTTTTTCTGTCCCAACAGAGGGCAACTTTGTGTTTATGCAAAGTAATCTAGGGAGCCATAAACTGGGGGGAAAAAACAAGTTCATCCTGTACTCTGCATTCTGGCAGTGCAGACCCACCCAAATCCTCATCCTCCTCTAAAAGTGTGGACTGTAAGGCCCAAAGGTTAGGGTGGGTCTTACAAGTCCTTACCTCTCACTAGGACTTTAGGGACTTCTCTTGGCTTACGATTTTTATCCCTTCAGCCCCCTGGATACCATCTATTACCACCGGGAGATCCTTTGCTATTCTTTGGATGGACTTCGTGTAGATCTGCTAACGATCAGTTCCTGCCATGGGCTTCGAGAAGATCGAGAGCCCCGTCTAGAGCAGCTATTTCCTGATATCGGTACCCCTCGACCATTCTGTTTCACAGGCAAGAAGGTGAGTGGGAGTAGTATAAAAATAGGACCTTGGCCTTTCTCTAGTCCAGGCACTGCTGACAGCTTAAAGCCACCTTATCTCTAGGCATCTTGGACACAGCCTCAGCCTACAGTCTGAGGCAAGTGTGACAGTTCCCACTCCACTTGCAAACTCAGCCAACTAGAAGTCCAGTGGCTATTCCTTCCTCATCCACCACTACCACCCCTGCCACCCTATATACTGTTCAGTGGAACAGCAGAGTAACTGACCTAATGACTGCTTTCCTCTCCATCTCAGATATTCTTCTTAAGCAGTAGGGTACACCCTGGGGAGACTCCATCTAGCTTTGTCTTCAATGGCTTTTTGGACTTCATCCTTCGACCTGATGATCCCCGGGCCCAAACCCTGCGTCGCCTCTTTGTCTTTAAGCTGATTCCCATGTTGAACCCTGATGGTGTGGTCCGGGGCCACTATCGGTAAGAAGCCTCCACAGCCTGTCTGGGTTGTTCCCAGTCCCCCTCATCCCTGCATTTCAGTGAAGTACTGTCAGCTTCTCATCTGACTTCTGTATTCTCAATCCTCTTACATCCTTACAAGGGCAAGCCCCTCTTACCATCCAGTGACCCGAGAAGGAATGAGATCCCATCTAGCGGCACTCTCTGGAAGGAGCAGAGCTAGAATAACTGCGGGCATATCCTTAGGTTTCTGTGGTGGGAGTGACAGCAGATCAAGGAGAGGGCCAGTCCTCAATTGTTTCTTAATGTAACTTCAGCCTCTCACTTTATAAGTCAGTCTCCCATAGTCTCCTTTGCGTCTACTCTGGTGTCTCCTTCGCTGGCCCAGCCCTCTAGACCCTGCTTTAGTCCTTGTTTCCCTA